TTACCATTATATACATTTCGAATATTTACATATTGTACATATTTACATAAATAATATACATATGTTCAAAAATGAAATCGGTATTGATATAGCATTACAAATGTAGAGATAAAATATAAGTAGGGCAATTAAACACAAGCCTATTAAAGCTTATGGTGCATTTCAAGCAAAATATGTTTTCAAATGAACCCAGGATCATCGATTTATAGATGCCATTTTAACAGTTCTATGAAAGAATGAAGATCGAAAGAAAAATAATCATAACAAGCACGTATTTACATTAATTGTAATAGAAAACAGAGAAGAAAATCGTACAAAGCAATATAAGCTTCTCCTTAAAAAAAGCTGTTGCTTTAACTTTCCAAATCTGAAATGGATTTAGAATGATTATTTTCCATCCATCCATCAATCAATCAATCAATAATATCTCGTTAGCTGTTGTTTGTGTTAACTCTTATCATGCCACAGGGCTAATCCCCATTGTGCCAAGCCCCAAATCCCCCGTGCCAGGTTGTTTTGGAGATAGTCTGATTAACGCGATGGTTCTCTGAATAGCGAGTGCAACATACACAGCACAGTCCAATGAGCATGAACAATAATTGCTATTACGAATGCTGCATTGCACGCACATGGCACTCAAGGGGTGGCTCCCTCGCATGTACAAAACACTATAACGATAGCGTGCATGATTTAATGCATCCAAAACCTACGCTCATATTTTAGATAAAGAGTTAACCAATTAGCAACGCCTTCTGCTAAACCTTTTGCTCCAGCTTATTTCGTTCCATCAGGTTTTCGCTTCAGGTAGGTTGTCGTGTTTCATGCGCGATCTCGAAAACATACCCCTATATTCACGAAAGGTCGGGTATTAAATGTAATACAAATACTCTCATTATTTCAAAGATAGTACTTAAAATATCCCTGTTCATGGTCATTTGTAAAACATGCCCATACAATCAAAATATGACAAAGTGTCAATCGCTAGCATGTTTACGAACTGCTGTGATTGTTCATCTTGTACTAGTGTCGAGTCTAGACGCAAGTTTTTAAAGGTTTGTACTAGATTTATTCAGACAATGTTTGGTAAACTGGACCCAACACGTTGTCGATGAGAGGGTATATTTCACCATCGTTACACCCGGCTAACGGTTAAAAAGGTTAACGCAAAATGAAGAAAGAAAACCATGAACAAAGATGTATGGCGTATGAAATAATTGTCTTCACAGGCTTGGCTGACGTAGGTAATGACGCAATTGATCTTAAGCTTCGTATAAAAAGGGCAAACCAATCAGCTAAAGAGATAAGGTCGGCTTTTGGGCGCGATGCGAGTCATATTGTAGAAAGAGAATAATGACATGAGCAGTGCACGCCTATATCTCTGACGCAGTGTCGTATATTATCAACCTTCACAGCCTTGATTGACGTAGGTTATAACGCTATTGAAATGACGCATCGTGGAAATCAGACGTAACGTCAACCACACATGTGATGGAATTTGCCTGTTGCAGGACTGCGTCAGCTACTTTCACATCTTAACAGAGACGTAGTACAAATGAGGATTTCATAATTATCATTCCACATATTGCGTTGAATTCGTGTCGCATCTTCACTCATTTGATTAGCGAAGGTAATAATACAATCAAAATTATGCCTCGTTTGCATCTGTTATACTGTATCCGGATGAATGTATAGAGCAAAACCCTGTCATCTGCGAACTGGTCACCTCGTTATATCGTCAACCCGATATCTATACTCAATGAGGTCGGTTATTCTCCAGTGGTGGATTGAAACTTCATTTGTACACAGCTAAATTATAACCCCGCTTCAAAATTCCCGCGGTATTAAAAGTAAAAATAAATAATGTTAGCCTCTCCATTCAGATGGCTGGCTCTGAATGCTTCTCACAATAAGAATCAATAGACAATCAATTAACAATCAATAACCGATAAACAAATTTAGTCATCGCACTTGATTGACACAATAACCTCGTCCACTTGTCACTGTTTAAATCTGAATAAATACGAGAATCTCCAATGAAAACACAATATCACGAACCAAATAATGAACGGTGGAAGACTATTGATTAATGAGTCTAATAAAGTCAAACAAGTCGTCAGCTACGAATGAAAGTATAAGGTGTAAAATTAGCGGCTAGAGGTACAAAGTCATCCCCATCGTCTTACAATTGTTTTATTTCTATTAAAGCGTAAACTAAAAATCAGGGGAAAAGGCGGCGGGCGTGATGGCAGGAAAAGAAAATCATTTATTTAACAAATGCATTTTCTTTCCTTTAATAAAGAACCTACATAACCAAATTAATTTTGTTATTGTCAATGTCTGATGTTTTTCATCAAGTTATATTTCGTCACTCTCGGAAAGGTAAATTGTTTCATCAGCAATTAAAAGAGCGAGTGTTTTCAAGATTAATTAAACAAATTACCACTCTGGTTGAAATGTTCAAAAAAATGTTGTAACTCGAAACAAAAACAAAAACGTACATTTAAGATAACACATTTTGATAACGTTTCTAGGCCCTTTTGTTAGGATACATACCACATGTGTTTTTTAGTGGACTATTTGATGTTTTTGAAGTGGACTCTATAATGTATTACGAACACACACAATTTTTCACACGCTACGTACAATATTGCAACATGCTTTGAAAAAAATAAATATATTTCTATAATATGAATATATTTGTTCATAGTAAATATTGCTAGTTCAGTCTTCCACTGTCATTTTGAGCGGATATCTCGTCAATCAAAACACCCCTACATTCAAATGAGCCCGCCCAATCGTCTAATGGTGAGGTAACTGGATTCTACAAACCGGGCAATGTTCTATTCTCACCCGCGGGGATGGAATCGATGCATTTCAAAGAATGTGTTAGAAAACATGTGTATAAAATAAATATTCACAACTTAAAAATATATGTACATCTGATTTTCGTCTTAAAATAAATACTTATATACAAACTGTACGATTTGGTGTCTCAATTTGCACAAAATTGGAAACAAAGTTCCCCACAACATAGTAGTGTCAATTTCAGGTGCGAGACCTGCCAAGAGTGTAATGTACACATTGTCATGTCATTTTAACACAATTTTACATCTCTTTGGTGATGCGATTTTATGAAATAAAAGATCGCATATTACATTTCGCATGTAAGTGGTATATGATTGCATACTTTAGCTACATACAAACATAAAATCCCATATGTTTTCATCAATTTTGTCTCGTCTGTACAGAAAATAGTAATGCATGTTCTCAGATTTCGTTTTTTCTGTAACATATCGTTGAGCTAAACATCGCTCTGCGGCATGTATCTGAGTGGCGGTCGCACCACCGATGAGCATGGAACGAACTCACACGTGTTCGCACATTGTACACACTCTCATGTTGAAATTCTTACAACAAATAATTACCGTGTATAACAATTCGAAATTAAAACTTTGAAACCTGCACAGATGCTTGGTTTTGCCTTCTATGTATCATTTAAATTGGCTTTATCATCGGGTCCTTGCGTCGGGTCGGGTGATCATGTCCCCATCCTTTTGTGAAAACATGCCCCTTTATTCACGAACGTCTGGTTGATATTGGTAAAATAAACTGATCTTATGAACAAATGGTCTAGTCCAATTCACCCAACTATATATGAAGATCCTACGACAATATCTACGAAAGGTCGCGTCCTCAACGTGCATTTTCACATGACCTTCTGTTTTGCATCCGACCGGGTGTGATGACCCGAAGTAAGCCTTTAAATCGAACTGAATGGCCAACAATATCTGAGTTTCATTTTCCGCGTATTTGTCCAGTAATAATATATTCCATTCAATATCTCATCTAAGAATATGAATTTAGTGGCAGAATTCAAATCATGAAACTTTAACTTATCTCATTATTGATAATTCCTGAAACTGATTGATATTACTTTCAATGCAATATTTTCAAAAAACTTAAATACAATTTCCTCCAACAACTCTGAAATGAATTATAATTCAGAAAAACAAGTGAGCCATATTGCGTGATTTCAATTTTGTCTGCCGATTTGCCACAAGAAAAGACAAAAAAAATAAAAAATTGAGACAGACTAGTACCCTTCCAATACAACCACCCAAGATCACATCGCTTTCTGCTTCGTTATTAGAATCTTCAAAGATATATGCTAAAGCTTTTTAGATCATGATTCAGGCTAATCCTCAATCGGTTTAACTTATTGAGGCGGAATGATGTGCATATATCGTCACAACCAATCGTATGTGGCATCTTCTCAGAACAGAATACCAATGCCTCTCCTTGATCACGCAAACTCTGATGATGTAATTCTAGCGTGACGTCGCAGCTCACTATTACAGATCTTGCAAAGGAGAGGTTTAACCGTTCTCTTCAGTATCAAATGCGATTTCCGTCGTTTAACCTGTCTCTCGAATGTGATTCGAGTCCTATGGCCGTTAAATATCAAGCATATTATTGCTATCTGAGCATTCTTGTTAGACATTAATTCAACGTCTGTGAATACCAATCAACATTCTCTATGTTTTTTTGGAAAACACGCTTAGCTCGACCAAGTTTCATAAAACCTGCTACTGAAAGCAAAATTCACAATCACATAATAAAACGTCTCACAGCTAATGAAAGCAACTCATTTACGTAGCTCATATCAATTATCATAACTCTTTATTCAATAATTGATATCATATAATATAATCAGATGGCCCAGATAGACTACCTCGTTACATCTCGTTACATCTTCTTGCAGGGCCTTCGTTCGGTCGTTTGTAAGGATGCCAACTTATGTCAAGATCAATTATACAGAAAGGCTACTTGAAAGTCAATCTACAGAGCCATCATCACGCTCTGACAGCTTTAAAGCCCCTCTGTCCTACTTGTAGCTACTTGCTCCCTCTAAATAGAAAACTTCCCCAACCGGTGCCTGTTGGTCCCTCATGATCCTCTTTTTCTTAATGAGATAGCCACCTATCAGTGACCTCGCTGTGTGGTCTTATCCCTCCTGGCCCAGTAGTATTGACGGTCTTTAAACAAAAATGGTTAGGTACATCGTCTTGATTACTACTCAATCATGTCAATCGAACTCAATTTGGTTCATTCCGCAATAAAGAAAAAAATTGCCATACAGAAAGAAGCAAAATGTTATCCTTTCTGTTTTCCAAACATTTCCAGATACTGGTACGGAAAGAAGCCGCTCTTGCGACCGGTTCTGACCTGGCTCCAACCATTATCCTCCGGGGACATCTGGATCACAACCTACGAAGGGACGAAAGGAAGTATACTCGGTATTAATAGAGGAATTGCAAATCTATAGGGCGTTTATGAAGTATCAATATCTACAGAGCCCAAAAATGTGAACCTTGCAGTCAAAAAAAGACGTGTGCTTTTGAGTTAGGATTAAAGTTTGTCTGATTTTATTGTCAATTTCAGTTTTATCATAAAAAGAGAAAGATCCGATACGAACACTATTATATTCACAATAAAACGCATACAAATATGAAACAAGCGTCAATAAATAGTTTTAAAAGAAAATAATAGGACATGTTAATATAAAAAAGGAGATAAAGTAGTATTGCAATTACATGAATTTTACAATGAGAGTTTGATAAAATTCTACTTCGTATTGGCTAGAAAGGGAAAACACACTGCAAAGTGATCACCTCGTTATATCGTCAATCCGATAGCTATACTCAACGAGGTCGGTTATTCTCAAGTGTTGGGTTAATAAAGTAAATACAATATATAAGATGTACCCCAAATCGAGAAAAAAAATTAAAAAAGAAAGAAAAGAAAGATAGAGATACAAATTGTCTCTTTTTATCAAGGCCTATGCAATATTCGTTTTATTTGATCAAATATTTAAAAGGTTGGGTTTAGGGTTAGGTAAAGGGTTCGGGTCAGGGTTAGGGTTTTATGATTGCAACCTAACCCTAACCCTAACTGTTTATACCTGGCCCTTTCGTAAAGTAAGCCCGTCTTCTTTCTCGTGAGATGCCTTAAAGCTATGCATCACCACCATAACCCTCTCCCAGGGTTGAAGGAACGTGACACAGAACGCAGGAAAGTAGCCAAACCGACCATCGCAGTCACCCTGAAAGACAAATCAAATGAGAATTCAAAAGTGTTTCACAAAGGTTTAAAGGGACTGTAGCTTGAAAAATACTGGTTAACGCCATCTACGTCTTCTTAAGGACAACGACACGTAAGCGAATGGACTTGATTAACGGTAGTCAGCGACTTTATCTCTACATTGTTCAGCGTTCGCGAAACAAACCGAAGTTCTCCTCACGCTTCCGTTTCGCGTATGTTCCACGCACGTGATTGCTGCAGTCACGTCGTCCGTAGTCGTATTAGTGGCCCTGAGTCAGGCCAAGGGAAAGACACGTAGTCTCGTCAGGCTACACTCCCTTTAAGTCATGCGAAAAATCATGAGTAAGTTCCAAAGTCATGTTTAAATTTGAGATCGATCTTAAATTCTGTTTCACAAAGGTTTAGATCAGTCGCAACTTCACAAAGTCATTTTTAATGTTACGCATGATTCAGACCATGTGTAATGCTTTAGATCTACGTAACACAGAACGCATGAAAGTAGCCGAACCGACTATCATAGTCACCCTGATAGACAAATCAAATGAGTATTCAAAAGTGTTAAAGAGGATTTTCGCAGAAGGAAGTCTGCATAATGCGTAAATGCCCTACACAAGAAGGTTTTACTATCGTCAGTATTTTTATCGTCCTTGTGATAATGATCATTATTTTCATTATTAAAATCATTATTGCTAATAAACCTATTAATGTCAGTATTACTATTATTGCTATTATTGACATCATTATTATTATCAATCTGTTATAATTTTGGATTTAAACATAAATACAAAGCTAGTTTAATGTAAAACAACTGTAAAGATAATTAGAGATAAAGGAACAAATATTATCTCTTTGTATGGTATTCATCATGCATGACACACGATGGACAGTCCACGATAAAAGCATACCATAACATATCTCAAGGAATAAGGATAATTGATATCTACCTTCCACCAATCCGAGCCTTCGTCTTCGGCAACCCTTACTCTCTGACCAGCCCTAAGACAATAAAAAGGACTTTGTTCAAAATATGAAAGCATGAATAAATATAATAGGATCACTTATATAAACTACATTGTTTCCCATACAAGATGGAAAATAAAACATAAAATTAACTTTTCATGAAGTAAAAGTATTTGCGTCAATCTGATTTCCTCTTCGTTAATAAAGTTCTCAGAATTTCATCTATCCATGCTCAAGACATTCAAAGCTGCTATTTACTTATCCAGCGATATGACACGTTGCCAAATGGACTCTGAATATACGCTTCAAACATAATTGAGACAAAAACTGCTCTCCTCTCTGAAGAAACATATATAAAACAGTTATAGCGATTTTTAAAAGTTTCATTTATTATGCTTCTTTTCTTGTACAATTCGACATGAAATACGTAGCATGATAATAGACATCCACAATAGAGGTGTCGGTATAGTTTCAGAACTATTTTCGTAGACTTAAAGGAAATTGATGTATGCTTATATCTTAATCCCTATTATACATCCCAAATAAATCATGATAGTATTACGTATACATCATTGTAATGTTTGTTAATTACATTGATTGACGCACAGGGCTTTTTCAATTGCCGTGGGTTGATTTTCCGTAAGTCTCAGCATGCGCATCAATGACCTTACCAGGTGAAACTACGTGCATATCATTGCGCGTGTAATTGTGTTTGCGACGGATAAACGCATACGTGCACCTCAGTTGTGCATTATTTCATTAAGCCGTGGGTTATCGCGTTTTGATGGGATTTGTTTTTGCGCACGGTAGGCGTGGAAGGAAAACATGTCAAACGGTCACGTGGTATCATTTGACCAATTGAATCGCCTACATTATAGAACCCGTTTTTGTTTAATAAGAAGGATATCTTACTTCAACGACAGGTCGTCCCGTAACATGCCTTCAAAATCATAAAGACAGATGTACTCTCTCCCTGGCGCTGGGCTGGTTGAGGCGTCCTGAGAAAAACCATATGCAACAAGTATTAACCATGGAAAAACCTTCGAAAAATGTTGCTTGGCTTTACATTCAAATTAGTATATACTTATTTTATAGATCAATATATATAAATTTCGTACATATATATTTATATAGAACATTATGATACATATGAGTGATTCGTGAGATGAGGAGGTAGTGCATTACATATATGCAAATACGGTTCCAAACCAGGTTAAAATGTATAAAATCGCAAACATCGCAACATCGAAATTAAAGGTTAATGAGAAGAAAACAATTCTAGCAGCACTGCCATGTCTTAATGTTTATGTCAGTATAAATAGTGTTGTACAAAAATGTTCTTTTATCGAGCGTGTGAACAAAATTACAATGTTATAGTTTATTTTATTAAACAAACGTATTTGCTTTCTAATTACAAATGTCAATACAATTTAACGGAGATACTTCTTTTTGCATGCGGACTGTTGATTGGTTATTGATATAGAATTACTATACAAGTGTGTCATGCAGATCCAATGACTTTAGGATCTTAAATAAAAATAATTTGCATCTATAACATGGCATATTTACATTTTATTAATTTAATTATAGATTAGTCATTAATATATCAAAGTGATACATTATAACAACATGTACGCAGTGTGATAATTATCACATACAACAGTGAAGATATTTGAAAGTATGCAAACTCTGATTTTGCATTCTATACGAATTATCATGAAGTATGACATCACAAATTTAACATAAAACTCAACGTCTCAAATGATAAATAATTGTAATTAATATATACATAAAAAACCGTTGCCCTTTAACACATCCAGATCTAAATTAAATTATAAATATTACCCATGGGCTTAATTATCTATCAATACATTGACGATGCATTTAAGTATTTAACGTATATATTTCTTATGTATTTTCCCCATCATCGGATTTAGGCTATTTTAACACCTTGGCGAAGAGTAGCAAATGTGTATAAAATGTCTCGCTAAAAGGCTTGAATTCGAACCTTAAACCCTAGGGTAAAGAGTCAAGCGATTTAAACACATCGAAATTGTTATTTTTTAGTTGAAATTTAGCACAATACTACATCGTTTTACAACGTTAGAAATACGAAATTGGTGATTGAAATAAAAATAAAACTAGTGAAAACACAACTTATGAAATGACAAAAATCCTGGTTCTCATAAAGTTACTAACACATGCCAGTATATACGATTCGTGCAATTATACAAAAATAAGCAAAACAAGAAAAACAATATAAAGTTTGACTGAAAAGCAAGATAGATACAGCAATAGTATGTTAGGTATATTTTGTCTATTGCTCAATAGATACAAATATAATATACAGTGCCACGAATTAACATGCGTTTATATTCTAGGCTGAATGAGTGTGCCCCTGCTGTCTGTTTGTCTCTCTCTCTCTCTCTCTCTCTCTCTTTCACTGGCCTATTTGCTGCCTTCCCCATCAGTATCTCTGTATGTCTCTCCTACAAAGCCACGTACACTCACACTTATTTACACCCCAACACCAGCTCTTTATGAAAACAAAAGTTGCACATTTTGATCAGATTTTTAGTCGTCTTTTAATCAGGCAACATATTTTGCTTATTTAGAGAAGGAAACATCATTCAGCCACGAATATAAGGTAGCAAATTATGATCTACAATGACCTTGCGAAACAGAAATATAACACTTTGGTTGATACAAAGAAAAAAAGTGGACACAAAGATAATTGTTTTCTCTTTGAGGTCACCTTACAAGACTTGACTGAACTGGATATAATGCGACCAGAATATTTTTGCCGGGACGGTAGGGTTGACGGAAACCGCACATTCATGACGTCAGAGGCAGAAGAACAGTGACGTGGGGGAGTCTATGGTAGCGCAAAGGGGAAAATCATTCTCAAATTCATAGTCATACTCGAGGGTAGGGCTATGCAAAATAACAACTAAACAAAGTATCTCACTTAATTCACACTTCGTCCTGGACAAAACATTATCACGTCTCTTAAACGGTCATGTAATGCTTTTCGAGGTTTAACTTGCAAAAAGGATAGTTGACATGAGGGCCATAAATTAAACTAAATGACAAGTAATAATAGTGATCTTGACGGATATATATACACATCAGGGTTTTTGTTACAATGTATACGTACATAACCATAATTGTGTTTTTCTTCTTAATATGAATTAACTTAGAGACATATTATGCCCTTTTTAAACAAATGTCCATTACTTTCCAGGGAAGATTTTAATGCAGGGTTTAGATAGAAATAGGAAAATGCCAACATTAAGACAAAATGAAATAAAAGAACAAATCATGAAAAGAAAAACTGTGATCTCTAAAACACTCGAATGTATTGCAAAGATTCACGACACGTGAAGAAGAGGTGAGATGAAAGAGAAATCACTGCAAACTTGAAATAAAAACTCCCTCTTTTTCAAAGAAGATCATATAATCATTATGGGGTCATAACTCCACGAGGAAGAGAATGACTGAACAATCTAAAAACACAACTAAAATCATCTAAAGTAAAACAAAGTATTGCATCATGTTTAGAAGAATAAGAAATCAAACATTTCAAATAACTCCACACAAACCAAACCTTTTCGTGATATGGCACTTTTCACGAAGTTAATCATTATTGTGTCATTTAAAAGATTCTTGCAGATTACAACGACTTCGACATCCTACATGGGTGTAGAGAAGCAACATCGATATACATATGTATTGCCTTGCTCAAGGACACAATGCCTGCGCCGGGGATCGAACCAACGACCTTTGTATCTTTAGTCAAATGTTTAAACCATAATTTTTTTTAATAATAGGTTGTCTTTTACGTTGGATAAAAAAGTACTTTGTTGTAATATGTAGATCATACTTACGTTTTCGACAGGAGTCGGTGGTTCGCTCTTTCGTCCATTAGTACTTGGTTTATGTGCTGGTAAACAGTAATGTAGAGAATTATGTTATTAAACTGTTCCATTTCAGACAAGGAGAAAGTGTAGGAAATCCAAAATCCAGGAATCTCCGCGAAATATGTTAAAGCCCCAATGCACTACTTAAAGCTACTTGTGCCCTCTATATAACAAACAATGTCTAATCGGTGACCGCTAGTTCCCCATGATTCCTTTTTTATTATGTTAATTGAGAGCTTATTTGATGAGATATCCACCTGTCAGTGAATGCTGAATGGTCTCATCCCTCCTGGCCAAATCAGTGCAGAAGGGCTTTGACATCGCAAGTAATATATGTTTATTGAAAATGCGACAGAAAAAAATGCAATGGTCGGTGTCAGGTATCATCATGTATCCATCAAGAATTAAATACTTTAGTTTAGCATTCTAAACGAGACGGAAAAGTAACAATATCTGATTACGGGAATATGTATTATTATCAAATGTTGGAATTTCCAATGAAGTGAAATCATCACAATTGGAAAAAAAGAATTGTAAAATGATTCGTTTGTTTGGAACCACAAGAGCGTTGGTCCTCATACTTTATTAAACGCAGCGGTAACACCCTGGTGGCACCTGCTAGACGAATTTATAGAATATTTGTAAAGATTACTCACATGGTTCCGTATAAAATGACAAAATGTTTCGTCAATTTGGAACTAAAAGGGTAATGATTCATATACTTTAAGGCAGAGATAACACCCTTCTGTCTCCAAATTAATTAGAGAATATTTTGTGAAGATTACTCACGTGGTTTAGTATGAAAATGACACCAAATAATTCGTCTATTTTGAACTTGAAGAACGTTAATTCCCATACTTTAAGGCTTAGTTAACACCCTTATGTTTTCAAATTTAGATAATATTTTATAAAGATTACTCACATGGCTCTGTATCGAATGACATGCTCTTCCCGTAAGACTGGAGTATCTTCCGCCTAGACTCCTCCCCTGCCTGGTTCGGACTGGTGGTGGACCGGACACGGGGGCGTCCCACGTAGGTGGGTGTGGGTGTGGAGTAGGTGGAGGGGGCGGCAGACGGTAAAATAAAAACACGATTTTCACGAGTCTGGTTAATGTCATGGTGGAGAGGGGAGGAGAACTGACGACCCAGGCTACCATACTGGGTCTTGACTACGGATCTAGGGAAGGTAACGCCCGTTGAGGTGGGCAGTGGAATGTAAAGGGATGTAGTGGAGTACGGTGGGGTGCGGGGAGGGTGGTGCAGGGGAAGGGTGGTGCAGTGGGTGTAAGTGTGTGTGTGTGTGTGTGTGTGTGGGGGGGGGGGTTACGGTGATGGTGGCCATTGTGGAAGGAGTAACGTTGTGTTACAGTGAATTTTAGATGCAGATACGAAAAGAACGAACATGTACCACGAGTGGAAGAGAAAACATACTTCAAAAGGTGACAGTTAATTTGCATTCCATACGACAGATGCCGTGATGAAAGAAAGTGAATACAACACCGAACACATGGAATATACAGAGTACCATATAACAGTGTGAGAGTATAAAGACATGCATGTGAAAATGTGACAGTACAAATACATGCATGTGACAGTGTGACAGTACAAATACATGCATATGACAGTGTGACAGTAAGAAAGACATGCGTGTGACAGTACAAAGACATGCATGTGACAGTGTGACAGTATAAAGACATACAGGTGAGAGTGTAGCAGGTAATACATGCAGTGATCGGTGTTGGATTGCCCCAAGAATTTCCGTAAGAATTAAATCATTTTAGTATACTCAACGAGACGAAATTATACTCCCATGGTTAAGCAGAAATACGTATCATCATATTATTAGTTTAAGTTCAAAAGCAAAACAAACATAAAGGGATATTTAATTTAATGCAAAAACAGGTCAATAACACAAATGAAGAAAAGTAAAATGTCAAGTATCGAGGGCTTACTTTGATCGTAATAACCCAAAAGTGGATATTAATTTGGTAATGCCATACATTAACAAAAAATCTTATTTACCATGATGGTCGCAGTATGTTTCTAATTTATTGTTACATCACACAACGAGAATTATTCATTAGAGAAGAAAAGGAGATGTTATACTTTTTTATTGGGATTCGACATTTAGAATGAATGTTTGACGATATTTTAAGATAAGTGTTTTGCCGTACATAAGTCGTTGAACAAAAGAATATAAATACATGAAAATAAATGTATAGTGTAGTGGTGATGGAAGGAAATCAAAATGCAAAATTGAAGAAAAAAGAAATGCATTTCAAAAACAGTTTCATTGACATGCCATCAAAGAAGAGAAAGGGAAATGGGTGAAATCAAAACCAGTACAAGTTAGTGGAGTGATTCTTGGTACAAAAGCGAGACAATAAAAATTAATTAGTTTAGGGAGTATTAGGAATGAACAATCATATTTCAATTTAATGTTAAAAAACACCAAATCATAATAAATCAACCACGCAATTGAAGTAATATATTAAATTGAATTGTTTTTGTCAACACGCAACAAAACAAATTTTAATCGAAATAAGTTATGATGGTATTAATAATATTGTACTTATTATAACACCATAATTTGTTTAAGTTATACAATTAAGTTTAAAATAAAAATGGAAACGGGGAGGGAAAAAAGAAATATCATTAGCTCTGAAAGAATTGAATATTTATTAAATATGTACATTCATAGTAATCATCAGAACTTTCTAAGGATTACAAACATCTTCCATATTTCACACAAGCAGTTAAAGTATTGATGCAATTTAGGAATAATGCATGGTAAAACGGTAAAATAGAGATGCAAGAGTGTTTTGGTTTAATAGTCGTATTCTTATCATGCTTGTGAATTTTATTTCAAGGCAAAGTTAAGAAACCTTTGTAAAGGATGCACCGCAAAAGCGTATACATGCGGTGCTTGTGCGTTTCCCCAATACCTTCGTTCAGGGTAGTTCATGGTTAATACTATGTGATGGAATCAGTCCCGACTCTCATTTTATTTTTAATCTGGAGCTTTTCGTGTAAAATCCAGAAAGGTATTGATGACGTATTGCTGACATCTGTTTTAAAGCATTTTAAAGATTATCTCAATTCAAAAATATATCTTTATCTATAAATCTGTTCATAACTCTCCTTGATATGTGTTAATGTATTATTGTTTTTCATTGCTACGAATATCTGTTTGAAGGATGGAAACAGGTAGGTTCCCAAATTGACTATGATCCACAATGAAGTCACGTTAATATCTTTGAGAACTTGAGAGAGTTTCAAAATCCGACGCCTGTTATTTTGTGGAATATTGGCATAACTAAAGCGATTCTATGGGCCTTTTTCGTAATGTAATAATATTTAATACAGTCTTTGTTAAGTCTCTCGTTACTAATTATTGTATTAACGTGTTGAGAATAATTGTATTTCAGAAGTCAGAACGCAAATTACAAATGTATACCTGTCGTTAGGTAAGGACAGTCCTAACGTTTATCCTACATAACAACATGTAATGTATGCAATTTTAATAATGACAATAAAACCACATTTAGTTGTAACAGGTGAATTCTCATCGAGGCACTTCACAAAAGCATCTGCATAAGTTGTGGCTGTTTGACCAATCATGTTGTTCTTTCATTCTTGTACAGAACGTAAACATGGTAGTAGAGGAACAATGACTAACCTATGTGGTGCTGACTTGGGTGTCCCTGATCGCCTGGAAGGTGAGTCCGGAGCGAGCAAGAAGTTACCCTCACTGTTAACAGGAGATGCTGCCTGCTGCGGTTTCATCTTAGAGGGCGTCCCTTTAGGACTGACAGAAGACATCATTGAGGTTACCGACCCTCGGCGGGACGACATGTCCGTCGTGGACCCAGTTAACTTGGCAGCACACTTGATGGTCTGGTAGATGGGATCAACTGGTTCTATGCAAAAATAATAGAATAGAATGATAAGATATTAACTCATAGCCTGCCAAAAGGCTGCATGCACGCTATCGCTATAGTGCTTTGTACATGCGAGCAAACCATTGTTATGCTGCCATGTGCGTGCTTGCACACATTCGTAGTAGCAGTTATTGTTCATGCTCACTGTAGTGTGCTGTGTGTTTTGCACTCGCTATTCATAGAACCATCGCGTTAATCAGATTATCTCAATATAAACTTGGCACTGGGGGATTTGGGGCTTGGCACAATAGGGATTAGCCCTGTGGCATGATAACAGTTAAAATGGTGTATTTCTCAAAAGTCTTTACCAATAGTTATAATAACTATATTTGCTGATAGAGCGCCTAACACTTACTGTATTAAAAGTCTCTAAGTGCTTTACAACAATGCAGCATAATTACCCTGGCTTATGCAGTGCAGTTATCACGCGCGCTGCGTTTCAAGGAATAATTCCTACCTGGTTCCCATTTACTCCACGTGGGTGGAGTGTGGCAATGTGCTTTATTGTCTTTGCAATGAACAAATTTAAAGAATGGCGGAATGCTTACCTTCTCTAATGGCGCCCTTCATATCACTTAAGCTCCTTGTATCAAGATCGGTGGTACTCTTCTGTCTTCTCAACATCTTCCTCTTATCAGGCTTTAATGGTAAACAGAAATTATAATTAGATCAATTTATATAGTAGCGCACCTACTATATGAATATACTATAATGCGCTGTGGTGAAAGCAAAACTCCTAACCTACTTTACAAAGACACAATCAATAATTATAAACAAAACAGCAACAGATTAGGATTTTCCTATTTCTAGTGGTTATGCTAAAAAGTAAACAGAAGGGTGAGTTATGCGGAAGGTGACAAATAATTTGTGACTTGTTTTCCCCGTTATATTTATGTCAGTGTGAAGCGTATCATAAAAAGGTGTCCCCAGAGAATAAGCATGGTTTTCCAAATGCCCTTATATTCAAAATATGATGATTAAAAGCTGAAGGTTGTGGACTATACGTTCATGCCACTCGTTTGTGGGGTCTCAAATACATATTGCTATGTACAAAGCATGTGACTTGTAGCAAGACTTGGACAATTTCTCATAATTCTAAAGATTCCAAAAGCTTATGTTATACACCACTACTTATCTGCTACAATGACAACCTTTTTAAATCAATTCCATATTTTCTTTTCCAATGTAAACTGAAATTTATCGGAGAGTACATACACATAATGATATTTCACATTTTAAGGGTTTAAAAGTATTATAACAGATAATGTTTAACGTTTCTAAGTTCTATTTGGTATATGTTGTTATAATTCCAAACAATAAGTCCAAATACAGCAAGGACAGGTGTTTCAAAACAAATATCATTGAAATAACGAAATAAAGAAACAGGTCAGTGAAAAAATGTGTAATATTATATCATATTGGTATATGAACTTTCGTGTCATCCATTTTGTCTTCTTTTAAAATCGTGTCCATGTGTCTAATTTATTAGGCTAATTCAATTGTGTTTAACAAGTTGTATCTAACACATGATTATTGAAACTGCAAATACGATTTTAGAAAAAGAAATTATCAAAAAGGAAACACGTATGGCATGCAATATTGGAATTACTTATTTCAACACAGCAGTGGTATATATAAGAAATAAAATGCTTTATGTTTATAGACAGACATGCTGAAAAAGGAGACACGCATTTACATTAATTTTTAATTAATATAAAGATGCGAACTAACGAAAGCAATCTGATCTAAAGAAATAGTCGAGAGGAGCATGCTATAAGCTTCTAAAATCATTCCAAGCTTTTCTTTACGAGTTTAAATATTTGACAATGAATTCTTTAGCGGTTGAAGATGTGAATAGAACCACAAAAACATATACGGCAGAATACAGGAACGTACAAAGGTTTATACATCTGTATTGTAGGTATCGTGGTCTAATGGATAAGCCTCTGGTCTGTGGATTACATGACTCGCGATTCTAGCGGCACTAATGTCATTTGACAGGACATTTATTTACAATTGGTACCTGGCTGACATCAATTCCTTGAAATACTAGAGCGCAATTAATGGCAGCCGTACTAAAGCTGGGGTAATAATTGTGGAGCGCCATGAGTGCCAAAGGTGGCAGACAAGAGCGCTATACAATAACCCACTTCAATAATTACAATGCTAAGCGTATTCAAAGATCTAACAAACTTTAAAAGAGCGCGAGGCATACATGGTTGTAGACGATTAAGCCAAGAACCTGAAGCCCCAAGCCCCTCCAAGCTGATCAAGAGAGTTAGACAAACCCGGTTGTCTGCACTGTTGGGCTAGCACAAACAAAATAAGTTACGCCATGTTGTGAAAAACTGACACGAAGTTGGCTAAAATCTGTGTATGGATAGATGGAGCTTCTCTTACTAAGCACCCCCCCCCCATAACATAACCCTAGCAATCATTCCTCTAGAACCAATGTATTTCACATTGATTCTAAACTGATCGACTGTTTGGATTTCGGAGTAGTGTATTTTTTTGTTCGGTCTTGTGTAGGTCCGGTGTCGGTATCGTTGGTATGACTGATGTATAAGGCCATTGTTCTACCTATTTAGAACTTCTGTGTTCAATTTTGAAAATATAAAATGAATTGATTTACCGCTGATATACCTTTTTGTTTGTATTTTTTGGTAAGAAACCAGAAAAGGGCGTTGGGGATTGCGATAAACCGCATGGTACGCATAATGGTTCTTGAATATCCAAATGGAAATTGTTTTCTTTTTCTGAAATACACACTTTTCAACGACAAACCAGACCAAAGTGCTATACCGATGAATACAAATTAATTATCTCTCTCTTTTTCCATAACAAACAATTGAAGGAAGCATTAACAGTGATTGCTTTTCAATGTACCAGCTTTTTTACATCATGATCTATGAAAAACACATTTGTCCATTTTTAATACTATTCTGCGTCTATTACGGAATAAGAGGGGCATGCAACAAAGATATATGAACTTTTGGAAAAAGAAGGATGGGAAAGCGACGGGCTTTTAGAACCTATTTAAAATATGTCACTACATAATGATCATGCGATTTACTTCTATTTGAGCACACGCAATAATATTTCCGAAGCAAATTCTATGTCTGAGCACATGCTTTGTCTATACACTTTTCTGTTTCTTCTTTTTAGGCGAGGGAGCGCATAGGGCTAAAATATTTACAATCGAAAAATACAGTCAAACATGTCTATTGACGCCTTCAAGAGAAACAGAGGAAGTAAACACTTTAGACGGGTGGCCTTTCTAGACACGCTCTACAATGCGTATTTCCATACCAAGGAAAACAAAATGCATGGCCAGTATAGACAGGTTGCCTTTATTTAGAGATGGCCGCTGATAAAGGTTTGACTGTATTATATTGAATATATGTGTAAGCATGGCCTTTAATGGAAGACAAGGGATTGGGGAGGGGTACAGGGACAAAGATAGAAGTAGGGCTATAAACATATGCATGTTCAATGGTTTCTGCATTCCCATTGTATCATGCAGCGAAATGAAGGCGGATGCTAGAAGACAGAAAAGCTTTCGAGAAAAAAGAAACAAAATTAAGATGTCCCAGTACCAGATTGCGTATCTCTCGCACACTCATTTGTCGAACAAACATCTTCTTCACGCTACGGCCTTCTTGCTGTAATATGAATAACAAGATGAAACACAGTGTCATCGCTACAAACCTCTACAGAAATACAATTGATAAAACATAAAACACATACTATCAACAAATCTAACCCTGACGCTGGGCTTAAACTTCGATTCAACTATGGGTTTAACGTTTTGTTTTCGAATTTACGAAAGGTAATACCCGACCCTTTGGGAATTAGGGCTTGATTATTTATCAAACTTAGTGTAACCACAAGACGCGAAGACCCAATAGAACGACATTAGCCTCCTGATATGACGGCAAATCATGATTCAGAAAACACAATAATACCCTACACTAAACGAATAGCTGTTGTTTCTTGAGGTAAATACAACAAGGGTTTTATTAAATTTTTTACACAAGTGCTGATATATAAGTTCGTTAAGTTAGCTCCAGGATACGGTCATGATTATAAATCAATAATTCAATGTCACATTAAATTATCATTGGAAACTATGATTGCAAACACTTTCAAGAAATCAACCAAAGGCAACTTCAAAAGCCCAGTATATCATTCTTTTAAATTTGAGAACATTGTGATTGATTTGAGAACCTTGTGATTGATTTGATTATCTATTCAAAACATACACGCAGTTTATCCATTTCAAATCAATGTAGATTTTAATTGCTTCAAAAGCGCATTAAAATAAAGCAGGTCATCTTTTCACGAAATCAAGCACAAGTTCAAAGACATCCCAATGAGATGCGTGTGAACTTAGGATGTCGGAGAAGTTGTACCTGCGATGGTTTTGCGATACGCTGGCCCTGGTACATTTGTAAGATCGCAATGAATCTTAACAAGTTATTGTTTGTTTAGAAAAAAACACAATGTTATAGCAAGAGAAAGAAAAACAAGTTTTGGAGAATAATTGCAAGAATACCCAGGAACCGGGATCCCGAAAGTTAAAACGCCTAGAAATCCGCCTTGGATTATCAAACTGGAAAGACAAAGAACATGAATTGTATTATGAACGAAAATAGTACTAACCATATGAAAAGCTAAATACAAAAAGTTATGACGACTGACCTTCAAGTAACACAAATTGAAATTAGTCAATAAGATTGAAGAAAAAAAATCGTGCCTGTGGAAAGCCCGTCCACCAAGCACCATGATAATTGAACGCCTTTTTGGGGGAATACACATTTAAAAACTAAACTCTTAATGTTTTGGTATGGTAAATAATACATTAGAAACTCTCTTTGGTATAGCAATAACATTGCTATGATATTAAGAAATTGATATGAATAAACATAATTATAAAAAACAAAACTGACCAACTTTACAGATATTCAGAAGAACCCCCAATTTATAACATTGTTCCAAATCTTTAAGATTTTAAGACTTATTGAACTTTTAATTCTATAAAAAATGACTCGATCCTTTAGAATGAAATAAAAAGAAAGATATTTACTGTTGCAGGACCGGAGCATGATGAGACGGATTCCATACATCTGTGGTGAACGTTGGCCTTACATACTTTACATCGTAGACCTTGTCTCATAATACCTGGATATTGAACAGAGAAATTGAAAGAGAAGGATGAGGTCGATGGACAATAAAGCACAGATGGTCAATACTTTGTACTCTGTACAGCAACAAACGGAAGAAAGACAGCTAAATAATTTAAGCAAATTAAAGCAAATTATACTAAAATATAACCACGCAATTAAGAAGGACTAAATGAAAAAGAACGAAAAATAAAGCTAAACAAAAAGAAACAAGAGACAATAAAATAAAACGCTACTAAATAAAATAAGCATGTGATGAGAACGAAAAAGCGTTGTGTAATCATTGTTGACTACCATAAATAATGTTAGAAATGTTGTTATAAAAGAGCATCTGATAAGATCATTGTTATCATCTATTTCATAATAAAATGCAAAATGGCACTTGGAGATTATTTGTGCGACATTATCTCATCGAGGGCTATTTTGGCGAAGTAAATTGAACACTGCCAGTCTATTGACTGGTGTACCACTAACGTCTTACCTTTCAGCATGCCCTTACAATCGTCACAAAATGTCGGTTTGATAAAATTATATTCCTGGAAGACGTGCGACTTTGAGTTGATTGAGCCATTACTTGACACCCCCATTTCTCGAATGGAATCGCCTGATTCAGAAGCACGTCTCTCGGGGGACGCCATGACAGTATGACCATTGCTAAGACGAGTCTTAAACCAGTCGGGTGAAAATAACAGAAGCTGGAGCAAGCAAATGAAACGAAATCATGAAATAGGATTATGTTTTCCGTAAAACACAATGAAACAATTTTTAGTAATCTAGTGGGAAATATGACAAATTACATGTTAACTTAACTCATAGCTGAATCGCACAGCTCATTTTTAATGAACTCCAACAAGTGTATCACTGGAGTATCGTTCAATGCTCGTAGCATCCGACGTAAAATTGCTGATCTAGAGGCATACATTGATTGTAAACAACCTGATATTATCAGTATTACTGAAACATGGCTTGATTCCAGCTGTGAGAATTCTGAACTTGCCATACCAAATGATTATGTTATTTTCCGACGGGATCGGGAACAACCAGTCAATCATCAGCGTACCGGAAACATTGGTGGTGGGGTACTCCTGTGCCTCAAATCGTCTTTGTGCCCTCGACAGTTATTCAATCTCCAGCACCCTGAGTTGGAGAATGTTGCAGCTGAGATATGTATCAATGGCTCTAAATGGATTGTTGCAACCCTATATTGGCCTCCTAACAACCTGGCAGATTTTTGGGACCGCCTTCAGGACAACATTGACCAGATTCAGTCAGTTTTATCGAGTTACAGGGGAATCTTACTCACAGGAGACTTCAACATCGATGTCTCTGATCGTAACGCAGATGCTACCAGATTGCTGTCTATGCTGGAAGCGGTGGATTTACCGCAGGAGGTGACTTCCTCCACGCGGCCATCCTCTCGTGACCCTACAATAGGCTCCATTATTGACCATCTTTACTCAAATCGTCCAGATTTTTGGTATCTGTTTCTACTGAGCCAAACCCTGTGTGTAGCGACCATTTTTCTGTTTTCTTCAAACTCAGATCACCGAAACCTTACGCTTGCAGGAATACTCTACGTGAATTTCTTTTAATTAAGGCAGCTGACTTTGACCATTTTAACCGTCTCCTTGAGGTAGCTCCTTGGCATCTCTTTTTTGATGCCAATGACATCAATGCCAGTTGGGAAGGATTTCTTGACATTTTTCATGCTGCCTCCCGTGATGCGATTCCTCGGAAACTTAGTAAATCAACAAAATCCAAACCGTGGATTATGAAGGAAATAAAGAAGCTGATCAACAAAAAGCACAATTCGTTTAAGCATGCAAATCCCTGATTTAATCACTCCCATTCTTCTCAAGAAATCAGTGGATGTGATATCTCCTATCCTGCAACGTCTTTTTAATATGTCACTCAGACAACGATCACTACCTGAAGGATGGAAATCTGCAAATATTGTCCCAGTGTTCAAAGCTGGGGATAGATCGATTGTTTCAAATTATCGCCCGGTCGCGTTAACATCTATTGTCATCAAGCTGATGGAGTCTCTGATTTCAAGAGCGATCTCTGACCACATGGAATCAAATTGCCTCCTCACTCCATTCCAACATGGTTTTGTTCATCATAAGTCATGTGTTACCCAGCTAATGACTTTGACACACTCCTGGCTCCAGGATCTGGACAAGCGTAGACCCCCTTCTATTGACGCGATATTATTCGACTTCGCGAAAGCTTTTGATCGTATGCCTCATGATGTACTTCTGCAGAAGCTTTCTCACTACATCTCAAGCGATATCTGGTTCTAGATCCGTGCATTTCTATCTGGCAGACTACAACGCGTCCAACACAAAGGACATTACTCTGAGTGGTCAACACCTACCTCGGGTATTCCACAAGGGAGTGTCCTAGGACCATGCCTGTTTAACCTATTCATTAATGACCTCCCTGAGGTTGTTTTATCGAGATGTGCATTGTTTGCAGATGACACTGTTATTTCACGACCTATCCATGACCCCATAGATCAGCAAGTGCTTCAAGATGATGTCAATGCTCTTGCGGACTGGTGTGACAGAAACAAAATGAGTCTGAATACCTCCAAAACCAAAGTCATGAGAATATCCTGGAAAAGGCAACCGGGCCAACCGCAGTACTATCTGAATGATACACAACTGGAGGTGGTTACTGAAACCAAGTACTTGGGTGTCATCATAAACAATCGCATGTCTTGGGATAGCCATGTTGGGTATGTCGTCTCTCGAGCAAATCGCTTACTTGGACTGATAACCAGCCTAGCCATGGGTCTTTCATCAGTGGCTGTGTTCAGCTTGTACAAGAGTCTGGTCCTCCCAATCCTGGAATATGGTCTTCCTGTCTGGACACCGCACAAAGTAGGATCGATCAACAGACTTGAGTCAATACAGCGCAGGGCAACACGTCTTGCCTTGAAGCAACGGCGAGGCCAAATGCCCTATGAGGAACGCCTACAAGTGCTTAATTGGAATTCTCTCAAGTTGAGAAGGACTTACTGTACAATGGCCTCCATTACTAAGTGTATGTTCAAACACATTCAATGCCCTGTTGTGAACTCTCTCATTGTAGTGAACCCATGTCATTTAGAAGACCTGAAGTTCAGGCATCTCTTTGCACGCAAAGATGGACTGCATTTCAGTGCAATACATGAGTTCCCCAGGCTGTGGGACACTCTACTTTCTGAACTCAGGAACTCGGTCCTTACTGTGTCTTTTTCCACATGGTGCAGTCACTTAAAATCCCATCTTGCCGATGCATCTTGAGTTTGATATGACAATGTTGGTTTTTATATTTATGCAATTTATCTGAATTTTAATAATGTTTTGATTCCAGTTAATGGTATTTATCTATATATACACATTAATATTTCTGTAGGGGGAAAGTAAAATGTTATTATAAAGGAACCATTAAATTAGAATGTTCACTCTCAGTTGAGTCATTACTTAAATTTCCAATACTATTATGAAATCTCAGATATTTAGCTCAGCATGTTTTGTAATAATACATGTATATTTTAATAAGCTGGCCTGCCAACATGCCACAGCAGTTTTTACTCATAAATTGTTAATACTTATTTTCCATAGATTTCAACTGAACTTAATAATTTACTATTCACTTGGTCAATAGATTATTGGATGACCTTTATCACCTTATGGTTCTACATGAATATTCACTATTCAGTGATTTTAACCTCGAATGAGTTGATTCTTCCAACTTTCATGCAGTTTTCCTTTAATTACACGTATATGCATTTTCTTTATTTGTGCAATATTATCACTGTTGTAATGTCACATTTTGCATGTTTTTTAATATATGTATTATGTTTAATGTATGTATAGGTCCATATGATTTTCTATGGTTGCATCACACTCCGGATACAAAATTTCCCCTTATAATTCATATTGTGCCACTTTTTTCTGCTGGTATGGTCATGAGTCTCTGGCGTGTGATGCAACCCTGGGGAAATTTGAATTTTTTGTCTTGATGCATTTTAATTATTTGAATGTGGTACATGTATCTCTTATATTGTCCTTGTCACATAAATCTGCAACGCTGGTTGCATCTGGTTGGGATATAGGTGAGGGCGGTCTACGGACTATAGTTATTTGGTTAACTTTGCCCATTGCCTGGCAGCACAGCCAGGTGCACCCAGTGCTTCTTTTTTGTGTGTGATTTGCTATTAATTGTTTATTTCAACTCTTTTTTTTGATATCATGTGTTTTCTGCCAAATAAAATAATTAAAAAAATAATAATTCGTACGGGTTTAAGGAAATTTTGCGTCCAGATCATGGTTAAATCCAAAAATTGTACTCATCCAGCCTTTTATACATGGAGTATTTAGATATGATGTAGTACGTATGATGTAGTACGTAGTATGTATACATTACTAGTGATTGTACCTTTACTTTACCCTACAAGATCAAATGGTAACAAAAGGCGGCTTGTCAGAGATAACAAGAACTAAACATTATTAGCCCTTTTTTCAAACTTTCTTTCTTTTCAATTTGCTATTATCCTTTTAGATTTTTTTCTCGCAGATTCTTGGATCCGCCGCCGATTGGTCCTGAATAATATCAGGACCCTCTGACATAAGAACCTGTATATAACAAATTACAGTAACTGTTATAAGGTACTAAAAAATGTGTCTGATTGGCTGTGAGCAATTTTGAATTTGGACATTTGTTTTTTGTTCTGTTTTTAAAGCTCTATGAAACAAAGCCCTGTAAAAAAAATGTGAAGTGCGTTCATCAAATCATCGTAACATTGCGTCGGGTCGGGTGGCCGCGCAACCTCGACACTTTGTGAAAACCCTACGGCAAATTTACGAAAGGACGTGTCCTCAAACTGCATCTTCACATAATCTTCCGCTTATGCATGTTTCACGAAAAGTCGTGAAACGCGATTACCTGACCAGACGCGATGACCCGATGATTCGAAGTAAGCTAACCGATGTGAAGATGATACAAAGGGGACGATTCTAGGACATCTACCCCCTGGACACCCACCCCCGAATAACCACCCCAGTCAACTACTCCCTAGGGCAACTACCACCTAATGCAACCACCCTCAAGGACGACCCCCGGAACAGCTACCCCCAAACAACTACCCCCTGGACAACTATTGCCTAGAACAACTACCCCCGGACAACTATCCCTGGAAAACTATTCACTAGAACAACTACCCCGGACAACTATCCCCTGGACAACTATTCCCTAGAACAACTACCCTCCGGACAACTAACCCCGGACAACTATTCCCTACGACAACCATCCTCTAGGATAACTACCCTGGGGACAACTATCCTACGAAAAGAGACGAAAGGAGACACATACCTGGGCTCTCTTGCAGGCGAGATTCGTCTCGTTCTGTCTGTTGCCATTGCGTAACTTGTGAATCTCCAGTAACGTTTCGTGTGCTTTACTTGATTGATTCGACTTGATGCTAAAAAATAAACAAACAAACATAAAATACAAACTCCAACCCGAAAATGGATAACCAGGGATTTCTTTGAGAGGTTCTAAAACTGTGGAGATACCTTTATTGGTAACATTTATGCGATATTTTTTTCTTCTTCAATGAAATGTGATGTAGTTAATAATGGATATATTAACAAAACCCATACATATGGGAAGAGGAATATTTCGGTGTTATCCCATTTATGTTTCTTTTGGTATTGGAAACAATGGTTCTTGCAGTAAGACAGCATAATAATTAAAGTATCCCTATCCAAGAAAGAGAATTCAGCATGACATCGTTGGCTGGTGATTCTTTGTGTTTTCTTGATGGCTTCTTAAATTCATTTGTGAATCTTTATGAAATACTACACCAATTTGCAACTTGTTTTGGTTTTTGATATAATTTATCGAAATCAGAAGAAATATCGATCGGTAATAAAATATGATCCCCAATTCATGCTTTCTACGAAAGGGGCCTTCGATGTATAATCTTACTCATAAACTTCAAATAAAGCACATTGAACTTTCTTGAATTGTTGGCGATATTTCTAATATCGATTATTAAAAAGATTTGTGTTGTTCAGACCCTACTATTGCCAAAGTTACTTTACTTGTTTTCTGTTGTATGTATCAAGATTCCAATCTAATTGATACATCTTAATACACTATTGTACGTATTTATTTGGAATGGGGGCGACGATAGAGTCAAGTAGAATTTCTTTTGTAATGATGTGTCACTGGGTAGTGGGTACACTGCTCATGATCGATTCCTTCGTACTTTGTTTAGTGGAAGTAATGGTTTGGAGTTACTTTTGTATTGGATGCTGATTATGTAATACATCTGTTTGCCACCATTGCACATGCACACACCGATCTACTGCTCAGACCCGTACTACACGTGATTATAATACCTTTCATATTGCCTCTTTAACCTGTTGGTCTGGTCTTTGACGACATTTATTTCCGTCTCCAATGTTTGGATCTGAAAATGAAAGAAAGACAAATCAGATTCCGAAGTTAAACTTCCATGATTTGGATCAAGCAATGACAAGGGCTTCTTCGTTTTGACTGCTATCTACTTTCTTTTTTCATATCATTTTCGCTATTCAAATCATTTCGTCCTTATTAAAACGATACGATTATATAATGTTCAAAATACAGACATGACAAAATATAAATGGCTTGTTACAAATGTTGCACGCAGGATCATGTACATAACCAATCCATGCATTTTTATTTTAAATTCATTTTGCGAATGTGTTTTGAACTAATGTTCTGTTCTGGGGTCATTTGAGCTTTATTATAAAGTTGTAAAATATGTTACTTGGGTTGTAACATTGGTAAAGCTCTCAGAATGTTACCTATGTTTCAGTATCCCCGCCATGAAACGTATCGATGGTATTTAATTTGAAATAGAAAATTGATTATATTTGCAAGTCAGCTGTCATACTTAACCAACTAATACTATCACGCAACAAGGAGAAGTGATCATTACTTTATTGTTCGGTCAGTTTGAAATACGAAAAACAACAAAACAACAGAAAACAAACAATCATAATCACCTCTTTGGCGAGTGAGTCATACTTTTCTTTTAAGACGCCCTCAGTGGCAGAGTTAAGCACCAGTTTATTTAAAGCAAAATCCTAGTGACAGATTGTGGGGTAAAGATCATAATAACAGCTGTTTATGAAATGGATGTATCAAGTTATCATACAGTAAGAAGAAGGAGAAATACAAATTTACTAAATCAAAGATAACGAGAACCGACGAAGCATGACACAGTGTATTCGCTAATCTATAGGCCGAGACATAAGCCGGTGGCTCTTATCCCGTCTTTTTTGTGTATACATTTATCTTCTTCTTCTCCTCCTTCTTCTACTTCTTCTTCATGATTCATCTTCCCCTCATCTTCTCTTCCTCCTTCTCCTTCTCTTTCTTCTTCTCCTCCTTCTGTTCATTTTTCTTTTTTCTATTTAGTTTCTTTCTTTTCTATATTTGGACTTACACACGAGGGGGGGGGGGGGGGGGGGGGAGATGTCTTAATCTCACTCCCCTATCCGACCCCGAAGCCCTGATGCATTTTGCCTACTGCATATCGATTGCCTGGCCCCAAAAGGGGCCACCCCCTTTCATGGACATATTTTCCCGTAATATTTATCCTAAGTTAGAAAAGATTCATGATAAATTCATGATTGAAATGAGCCAGTGGCGTCAAAGAGTGAACTCCATCTCGACAGCTGACGTCACATGATAGTGATGATGATGAAAATATCGATTCGTCCAAACATATATGTTGTTTTTCTTACCCCTCCGGCTGTTGGCTGGGGTTTGCTGAAGGAATATTGCTTTGCTTCAAAGGACTCGGGGTTACCCTTCGGCTTCTCGGATGCTGACCTCTTCGAGATGACCTCAAGTTTCCGAATCTGATCCGATAACTTGCGAAAAATAAAAACGTGTACGGTAAAAAGGATAAATTGTGATCAACTTTCGTTTTCAAAGTCACGCACATTTTTAAAGTGTACTAATCACATGAAATGGATAATATTTGTAAACCTAGAATGCATAAAATCAACTGCATAAAACACACTTCCTCTGCGTTAAAGGCTAAAGCGTATAAAGAAACTAAAGGCTAAGACCAACAACATAAAAGCGCACGGAAGATACGTCCAGCGTTGGTTCCGTGTGCCGAGCAACGACCAATCTAGGCAACGAGTCATTATTTTGTATATACTAACATAGTTTTGAAACTGCTACATCTCTTTGCAAAAGTAATATTTCAAGCTCATATTTCAAAAACAGTGTAGCGACATGGAACCCCTTACGTCTAATGGTGATTAGTATACTTGTACCCTTTCTTTGCCACACGTGCCAAAATGCACAAAGTAAAATATAAAAAAATGGATTTACACAGATTGTTTTCAATACAACATACAATGATCGATTACTCTTGGATCACGTTTTAGCAATATACCTATATTTAATGTTATGGAAGAAGTGAACAATATTTGTTGGAACTGTACCGTTAAGTAGATTACACGTCAAAATAAAGTTTGCCTTCATTAACACTGTCTGTTTTCATTAGCTTTGATGTGACGCCATCCTAAACTACTTTATAATTACCTTTGATATAAGGATTTTGGAGTGCCATGATAAACCTGATATTCCTGATTCTGATATTTCGTGACGTATGAGATCTGCATCCTGGAATACAAAATAGTAAAAACAATAACAACATCAGCAACGATAATGATAATAATGATAGTACTACAAATAATAATAGTAATACAATTAATAGTATTGATAATAGTAACGATCATAATAATGATAATACTACTACTACTACTATATAGCGCTGAATACAAATGTCTCTAAGCGCTTTACAGATATATTATTACTATCATAATTTTCATGATGAAAATATTGATAATAATAATGATAATACAAATGCACTTTCTCCCTCCCTTATGTTATTATTTCAATATTATGCCTATTTGTGAAAAAAATACTTGACCACACGGAAAATAGCACCGTCCCCAAAGCAATTTTACAATAAATGTACACGTTTAAAGTTAGGAATTTAACGCGAATATTTAGTAGTTTCGCCTGTTAGAAAACAGTAATCGTTTTCCTTCGCGATGCAAGTGAATAGGAAACACATAGATTACCAAAGTGTTTCATGCATGTTCATATTACTATTTACAACTTTAAATACATAAATAACTAACTAAATGAATTTACAAATAGTTAAATGGATGGACTAGCAAACTAAGCTTTTTTTCAGCAGGTAATGGAATTTATATCTCAAAAATATTTCTGTTCAAATAACACTCTTAGTGCACACGCTTCTCCCTCAGATTTTGCCGTACCAGTTTGACAACATGCTTTGTGAAACTATAAGTACGCTATTTACTAATGAATTTATGATGATTGCCAAAGATGACTCATTTAAGGATATTTCTGTGTTTCATCAAATTTGTGTTATCCTCCCAGCAGTAAATATTACAAGTTATGTGCTCATAATAATAATAATAATAATAATAATAATAATAATAATAATAATAATAATAATAATAATAATAATATGTATTTGTTATATAGCGCTTAATACAAATGAATACAAAATGACTACTTACAGAGTTGACTTTTGGAAGCACTGCGGTAGATAGAGAAACATTGAACTGGTTTGCTGTCGTCAGCTGAAGAACGTAATCATTTAATCTATTGTAGCAGAATGCCGTATTGTGATTCTGTATAAAAAAATACAACAAATAACATATCATCATGGTCAGTTGACCAACGCTAGAATCCTTTGAAAATAGATAACTTAAACTCTCGAGAGCAACTGGTTTGATATGTTGGTTTGTTTTGCCTGACTGCTTAGAGAGCCTGCGTATGCTTGTTAGTGAGCAACCAGGTGATCGATATATTTAAGCCCTCTCCGAGGGACTTGGTCATCAGGATTAATGCCTTACAAAGGGCACTGGCGCATTACATTTGTTCTACAAAAAAGCTAGCGCACCTCCGATTAATATATTCACAAGTCGATCTAAATAGTGTATTTCTACTCGTCCACTATTTCTCGTTTAAAATGTATGCCTGTATAATTATATATCCCTTATTACCAGCTATTTAATTGTCCATTTTTCTAAGTGGGGCAAACGTTTGTTAAAGCCGTTTGATTCAATTAATAAAAGGTGGATAGTAACACAATTTGCATATAAACCGAAATAACATCTGAGAACAAAGTAAACAGTAAGAGGACTTGAATTTAATTCTCAAATTCCTATAAGCTTAATAAGGCCATCAAGTTCCAGTAGGATTAGGATGAAAACAAATAACTACCTTTTTACTGTTCATCCCATCTTTGGACATTTTTGACCAGCTCTCGATGTATTCCTTTTCGCTCTGTATTAGAAATAAAACAATGAGCAAATGGAAGTGCATGCCGATATGAAAGTTATTAAATTAGATAGTGTTGCCATCAAAGATTTTATTTAATTTTCGTTTCATTCATCCATTTCCACTTCAAGATAAAACAGTTTTATAAAATATTCATAATACAAAGAAATATATGAACAGATATCTGGAAACACATAAATGGCTTGTTTAAGAGCCACACGTGCACTTTTACATGAACAAAATAGGTGTCGATTGACAGAAGAGTTTGCTTAATGCAACACAATGGCTTTCAAAATAATCTTCGGTCTCGATTAGCTTAATCGAATCCTTCTTAAGAATGATTGGTTTCTTTTCTGCACTGCAAACTGTTATATAATGTTTAATCATTGAGTAAATGTTAAATACAATGTGGTACAGGGGGATATTTTGTATGGCATATACACATATATAAATGTAATTTTACCTTGTCAATGATGGCATCCAGTGATTCGGATTGTTTGAGATAATCATCATGATACACATCTAACATCTTCACAAGTTGCTGTTTGTATTTCGCTGACTCCACCAGCTGATCGGTGACGGACGCCTCTATCGCCTCGCCAAGGTCACTATGATCCTGTTGAAGAAAATAAAATAGGTGAATTCATCCATTCCATTTTGTATACACTCGTAAAAGCTTTGTTTCCGGACCTAGCACGTTCTACAGGTAACGATAGGGACTTTTAGATTCTCACGAAGACAATAGGTCTATGCTACGATCGACGTCCTTGTAATGCACTGCCTTCAACGAACGTCACACGTATCAGTCCACGCAAATCTAAAAGTCCCTAATAACATTTAAATGGTAACCTACAAACCCATCGTTACAATACCTCTTTAACCTTCAACTCTTCAGTCGCTTTATTCGTCGCTCGTATGCCCCACGCGCAATTTCGCACACATTCAATATGCACCAATTGACTAAAGGCTTTTGTAAATTTAGCCATATTGGGTCTTGATTCGATCCCTAAAAAAACCCAGTTAAGATTGATCTTGCACTGGAAACATTTAAATATTGACACCTGTTGTATATTTATCCGATTATAAATACAATGCGGAACAGGGGGATTATTTATGTGGCATATAATGAGTTAATCCAGCTAGAATCCCGTCCCTTTAAAAGCTATTACGCTTTACGTAATTCGTTCCGGGGTACCTATTGCTCCTATTTCGATAATCTGTGTACTAAATAGTATCGACTTTGTGCGCAAATGAAATAGATGAACGACATATATGAATAAACAACCAAATGAATCATCCAGTGTAATTTAATAAATATTTTATCAAAGATTATATTTCATAATGTGCCAAATTAAACAGATACGATGGCCAAAAGTCGATACAAAAACACTGGATTAAATGATGCCATTCAACATATAATTTCCGTTTGTTATTTCAACCAATTGTTGAATAAACACAAAAGACATGCATACACAAAAAAACATCATAACTGTACGTACTTGAGCTGCCGAACCATACGCATGTAAAACATTTTCCCAGACTGTGAAGAGATTTGTGCATTCTTTCCATCTGCCAAAATAAGAAAATAAATATAACAACAAAAAAATATCAAATAAATTTCAAGAGGTAGAGTAATGCTTATTTCAAAGTACAGTAATTAAAACAATTTTTTTCCTGAAATGGCAATGACAATCTGGCTTACTATTAATATATAATGTATATTTCTTCCCATAACTTTACCGATCCCTCCCTGTGACTTTCCAGTTTGATCAATACATGTCTAATAAAAGAATGAACTCTTTCTACCCCAAAAAACACATTTACATTCATTTTTTTAAATTAATACTAATAATAATAGTGAACATTAACAATGCACCATGTCTGTCCAAAATGATGTTTATTGTAAATAAAAACATATTAAATAAAAAGTCAGGAGACTCATATAATTCAGTTTACAAATTACAAATACATACAGGAATATAATTAATCAATACTTTTAGTAATCTTCATATTAATTACTGATAATTAACTTAACAACTAGTATCTAATATTGGTAAAATAATACATGCTGTAAGTATTCTATAACATTTAAAAAGTAGAATATGTTGTCACCATTTTCTAAATGTTTTTTTTTTCAATTTTTGCATACATCTTCAAATTAATAAGTATTTTTTTTAAAACCTAGTTAACATTTCTTTAGAAACATATTTCTATGTAGATGTAAATCACAAGAGATATGATAATACAAAATATAACAATTAGGATTACATAAACGAAGACGTAAGAAGACTCTTTGAACCATATGTAAAAACATTGTACTAAGTTGGAGCATTATGGATATTGAAATATTGATAGAAAAGAGATGTGCTTACCTCTCTTTGGCCAGTAGTGTTTTTTCTTTGAAGGTTTCTACCAATGACTGTAAACTGCGTGAGTAGTCTATGTGAGTACGAGCTATGGCGGTGTGAAACTCAGCCACTAGGATAAGAAAGTGAAACAAAGGAGAAAAACGAAGGTAACCATTAACTGATGCTTTTACAAGTCGATCATTTAAGCTCTTCTGGTTGTTGAACAAATGCATGTGAAACCGTCGCACAGTGGGCCAGGAAGGAACCAAAGTGCGCCAAAACTAAGTTTGGGTGATTTATTTTTTTCTATTTTTTTCTTGCCCAGTTGAAAGGTAATACATAAAGGAATACCTCAGTGAAATATTTAATTCCGGTATGCACAATAAGGGCATAAATTTACTACTTCAAACAGCAAAATCCTACATATTCACAGTTTTAGTGCAAAAGTGACTTCTTTTATAAATCTTTCAATTCAATATGATTTTTTTAATTCATTGATATGTAATTGCTCTCACATATTCCTGATAGTTCATTTTTGTTGAATGAATGGGTTAAAATTAATAGAAACACAATCTTCATGATATATTATAGGGTAATTCACTGAAAAAGGGACTAATTATCCATGTTTTTTATAAATCCAGAAGAAATGTTTAGATCTCCGCGGTGTACCGCTTAAATTTTAATACCACCATTTTTTCTGATGTCTAAGCTTCAAGTTGATACCAAATTTGGCTGCCCGATCTTGCCCGTTGTTATGTTAGAGCCGATTTCCCTTGCCACATTGCCCCGAAAAATGTGGGGTTTTTAGGTCCGCGGCTGAATCATGAGGGATTCGTGGTCATAAATCACTGCACGAGGGGGCGCGTGACACTTGTTCTGACACTGCGGACCAAAATAAACACATTTTTCGGGGCAATGTTGCAAGGAAAACGGCTCTAACATAATAACGGGCAGAATCGGGCAGCCAAATCTGGTATCAACTTAAAGCTTAGACATCAGAGAAAATGTTGATAATAACATTTAAGCGAAAATCCCTGGAAATCCAAACATTTCCTCTGTATTTATAAAAAGTAAATCCCCAAACATGAGTTTTGGCGCACTTTGGTTCCTCCCTGGCCCACTGTGCGTTGTTGAAAGTTGGGTCATAGAGGAGATTTTCTTTCATGGAATTGTTTTAGGAAATTGTAGTGCAATACCAACGCAGTCATTAGAAAAATGTTTTGTTAATGATTGTCCTGTCAGCTTACTAGTTGGCTCAATGATAATAACAAGTTATTTTTCGTGCAAACGATGACTCTCCCACCCTCTGGCAAAAGGTGATACATTTATAAGCACTCATGTTTCACGTCGTTATATTGTACACAATCAGTCGAGTTCCAATGACAACAATTTGAATTTTGAATTGAATTTTTTTATCGTCATGCACAAAATAAAATGAAGGCATAAAAAAAAATCGTTTTACAGCTCACATTTGTATAAATATAACAATACATTAATATATCATAGACAGTAAGTACAAATAACATAAATAACATAACAATGTAATATAGTTTAACCTCTCTGTTGAGAGCCAGGGGAATTATTTGTTTATTTGTACTTCCCTGGCTCCCAACAGACAATACTAACTGAAACAAAAGCAGAAAATGTACATGACAACAATCAATGTCATATAACATATAAATATAACAAGTCACAGCAAAGATCCGAAATCAATTATTCATCAATTGTTAAAAATTCCAGATAAAAAATAGTAATGATAATGATGATGATTATACTAATAATAATTAAAATTATATAACAAAATTATAATAATAACTACAAAAAATAAGAATTAAACATAATAATAACGATAGTAATGGAGATCATAATAATAATGATGATGATAATAATGACAAAAACCATAATACAAATACAAATAATGTTATCAAAAGCAACCACTGGTCTGATATAGCTCATTTTGCATTATGACATAACGTCAATATGCGCTTTCAAATAAGTTTGGATTTATTATCTTGCCTCTGGCTTCATGTTCGGTATTTATACGACCACGCGCCCAATAAATCTTCTCTATGACCAAGCTGTCTTAATACGGGTGAGTGCGGATGACACGAGGGTGTCGATTTATGAGACACTATGCCCGGGAATGATTCACTTACATACAAGACTGTCACTTTGATTTAATAGTGTCTCTTTAATTGAAGTAAGCCGCTTCAATCTCAAGTGAAACCATCCGTGTTGACTGTGTTCGGCATTCCTATGCTAACCGTTGCAACCATATCAGTATGCATAGGGAGCTCGTAGTGTTGTTAAGTTTATATTATGGCCCATATTGGACAGATAAAGATGGATATGAAAGATTAAACTACAACGGAAATCCCTGGGAGATGGGACCTAAATACCAATGAAGTCAATTAAACTAAATATTATATATTCTTCCTGTCCGCCTTCTTTACTATTGGCACGTTTCGGTTATCGACTGAGTGAATGGTTACTAGTTGGGAAATGTTGATTAGTTCCCTGAATTGATTTTGTCTAGGGGGTGCTTTTTGTTAAAGAACCCTTTTTTAGAATATAATTTGTTTGTATTGTTTGTTTAAAACACTATCTACTGAAGATAGCGATAGGTGCAGCAGTGTCTTATAGGATGTCGTCTCTGTGCGTACAGCCGGGCACCGAGAGGCAAAGCGCCACAAGAACCGTACTACAATGAATAATTTGGAGACTAAGCTTCAGGAAATGGGCTCACGATAGACCATAACGCACCATGGGAATTCACGTAGATCATGGTCATCGCAATTGGACTTTCATTCATCATATATCATCGTAAATCCCCTCGAGGAGAGGGTTATTAATCAAGTGTCAAGGACTAAACTCCTGAGGCGAAAACCGGGTGGAATCCATGTCGCAGAGTTTGCTTCAGAGAAAAATAATATTCAAGAGTTGTTAAAGGTATAGACCAGTTCTGGTCATGCGATTGCATAATGAAAGAAACGTTATGGAATCGATCAGAAAAGTTGATTATTTAGCATATAAGTATTGGTGTGTACTGCAAGGTTCTAGAATCATCAAAATGATAAGAAATTTGGCCCAGTGTTGGTAAAGTAACCATCACTGTACACAGAAAGATGTTTATGAGACTAAGCGATAGCTATCCAGTCCGGATCTATATAATAATTTACCAAATACATCAATTAGTAGGCGGTTTCCCGGCAAAATTGGTATCATCGCGTACAAGTAAAAACATTTTTTTTTCACATGATTGGTAATACAAGCTTCCATTTCATTTTTTGAGAGGGGCGTTTCCAAAACTGGTCTATACCTTTAAGCTTTTCTTTCGTTTTATAATCCGTGGCGAGAAGAAAATGAGAGAGAGAGACAGAGAGAGAGAGACGTTGACACCTCAAAAGGGGGAAACAAACATTTTGAATGTGTAAAACTATGTCACTTTCGTTTTTAAATGGGAAACATGAGCCGTTGATGATCATCTAAACCAGCCACTGGGCTGAAAGCACAGAAGTGAAGACCCAGCATCTATCTACTATTGATGATCTTCTGTTGATGTGCAGTGGTTCATTCAATTAATTTCAGTCGCTATATTAGGGGTTGGAGTCTCCCACCACTTGAGATTATGGCATTTG